CAGGCCGTATTCCATGGATCGGAACAAGTAGTAATCCCATTTCAGTGTTTCTCAGTGGCGGCTCGTCGGGTGACGCAAGTGACGCACCGCTTCACCTAAAATTTCCGTTTGGTTGTGCAATTTAAAATTATTTTTAATTTTATATAAATTTTATAATTTAGGTATAATTCTATATTGAAAATGTATCGTGTTTCTTACGCAGAAATAAACAGAATAATTCCGCGGTGAACGCCTTCTAAAAAAAATTGTCTTCGTTGAGGGCGAACATCAACCTCGTACCATACAACGTACCTATAGTATACGCAAGTGACTCATATTGCAATTGGTATGTATCTGCTTCTCTCCGTAGCTCTTCGTACGGCGGTTGTCATGGCAACGAGGCAGCCAACGCATGTGTAAACTACGGCGTGTGAGAACGGGTGATGCAAAAGTTGAAGCAGCATTCTCATCGTCATCGCCCATCGCCTGTCTATCGTATTTAAACGTACATACGATAAAGATTTTCTGACCGAACAGTTGACGCTCTTTTTAATTTAGTAACAAAACGTATTGAAAAATATGAATATCGTTCAAAATTATTTTTGATGTGTTACAGAAACGCTTACTAAATATTATTTATTGTATGTCAGAAATTAAAAATACCCAGAAACTTTTAAATGAAAAAAGAAACGAGAGGAATTTTAACGAAATATTTGAATTAGGAAGCATAAATGTGCCAGTACCAGTTAGTTATCGTGATGGGCGAAAAACTTTGACAGTTCCTAAACATTTTCTTTAATATGGCGAATTCGCCGCTTAACATCTGTATCTGTACCTATCATTAAGTCCACGAGTCGAACTAATATTTCTATTTTTTATAAAATCTAAATGAAAATCCTTCTCGCCATCGTCAGTTTTTCGGTAGTATAGCAAATGCAACTAAAATTTCCAGATTCATTTAAAGTTGTTTGACCTTGAGAATTTTCGCCTGCGGCGCTTTTTTTTAGTCAATCGATAAATATGCTTCACCTATTTTCAATGTCACGAGCCGCCACTGGAACAAATGAAATTATTTATGAGTAATTTCATGGCTACGTGGGAGGAAAAACGGCAAGAAGATGAAAAGCTAAAAGACAGAAAAAGAAACAAGAAGAAGAAACTAGAAGACAAATTGAAAAACGAGAAGAACAAGAACGGGTACAGAAAGCTCTCATTCGTGCACTGGAAATGGAGGCCACCTACAACATATCGAGGCCAAGGATCCGAGCTGTCACTGTGGAAGATTCCCATCCGAATACCGCAAGGATAAACAATCCCGAATCCGACAACGTTACCGCACTGTTAGAAAAAGTTTTGGGGAAATTGGATTCCATGCAGAGAGGGAGACAACGAAGTCCAAGCAGAAAGAATTAGTGCTTTCGATGTGGACGGACCGGGCATTGGAAAAGGGACTGCAATTGCATCTCGCTCATCATCCAGGGACAGGCAAACCGGCGTGTCTAACCAGGGAAACGCAAAATTAGTCGGCATTACGGGGCGAATGCTGACTAACCCAAGCGTAGCCCTCAGGACTTTTTTCCGTGAGACGATTTGCCAGGGATTCGGGTAGCTTAGTGGTGGAAGGAACAGTCAATGGCAAGAAGACAGTAATTACTTTTGATGCTGGAGCTGCAGTATCCGTGATGAGACCCAGTAATGTCAACTCCAGACTACAGCCTTTGGTAAAAAGTCTCAGTTTACGTTCTGTGACTGGGGAGGTTACTCCTGTTATGGGCGAAGTAGAGGTAGAGCTACAGCTAGGATGTAAGCGACTACGCCATAGAATCTTAGTAGCGGAGATGGAGGATGACTTTATTTTAGGGATGGATTTGATACGTCAACACGGATTTGCCTTTGACCATGAACACAACATCTTGAAGTTTGGTAATGAATAATTTGTTCTATCCCACCCCAAGGAAACATCGAACAGGATACTGGCAACGAGAGCCGTAAGAATTCCTGCGAATTCAGAGAAGATCATTTTTGAAAAACTGGAAAATAATCCTGGGAGGTGTGTTGGATTCGTACAGCAATCGGATTGGAACGAAAAATGTCTAATCGCGAAATCGTTAGTCACATCAAAGAATGACGTACCTATCAGGATAGCCAATATTTCCCCGAACCCTGTCAGAATAAACGAAGGTGATACGATAGCGACCTACGAGCCTGTTAGTCATATCGTAAGATGTGAAGAACACACAGGAGTGAAGAATGAAAATAATACCAATTTGGAAAATTATCTCGTCGAATTTCGGAAATCCTGGCAACATCTTTCACAAAGGGAACTGCAGGAAGCAAGGAAATTTTTGACAACAGAAAGCGACATATTTGAAGGAAGAGACGGAACCACAGGTAGAACAAGCGTCATAGAACACCGAATTAACACTGGTCAAGCCCAACCTATTCGTCAGCCACCAAGAAGACTGCCATTGGTAAAGCAACAGGAAGTAAAACAACTCGTCGATAAGATGTTGGAAGGAGTGATCGAGCCCTCGTCAAGTCCTTGGTCGGCCCCCGTTGTGTTGGTAACCAAAAAGGACGGTTCCACCAGATTTTGCGTCGNGATGCATTTTCACTACCAATGAGAAACAATTTTAGAAATTTCATAAATAGAGCAATAATTACACAGCCCCACATAATAAAAAAAGTTCTATACCAGAGACGTGCGTACATAGATTTTGTGTATTTTTTTATGCTTCGAATACACATCCCAAAAGCCGATCTACCAAAGCATTTTTTAGTATAACGCTAAAATATCCCCTAAAATAAGGTGAAATAGTGAGGAAAAGGTAAAGCTATACAGGGTGTTAAAAAAAGAGTGTAAAATATTTCAGGAGGTAATAGTATGAACCAAAATAAGCAGAAAAGTCTTAATAAACATGGGTACACAAAGTAACGGTTGCGGAGGTATGGACCACTATTCATTTTTCAAACATTTTATTTTATTAGGAATAAACCGACAAAGGAAGCTTTTAACAAACAAAAAACAAAGTTACAGAAGATGTTCAAAGCGCCCTCCGTCCATTTCCAAGCAGGCACGACATCTTCGTCTCAACGATATTCGAACTCTTTCGAAAACACNGCCATTGGTAAAGCAACAGGAAGTAAAACAACTCGTCGATAAGATGTTGGAAGGAGGAGTGATCGAGCCCTCGTCAAGTCCTTGGTCGGCCCCCGTTGTGTTGGTAACCAAAAAGGACGGTTCCACCAGATTTTGCGTCGACTACAGAAAATTAAATGACGTGACAAAAAAGGATAGTTACCCGCTTCCTAGAATAGATGACACACTAACCACCCTTTCAGGATCGAAATGGTTTTCGACGCTTGATCTGAAAAGCGGATATTGGCAAGTTGGCATTCATGAAGAAGACAAGGAAAAGACTGCCTTTTCCACTGGTGATGGCTTGTATCAATTTACAGTTATACCATTTGGACTATGCAATGCTCCTGCCACCTTTGAAAGACTTATGGAAATCGTTTTGAGAGGTCTTACTTGGAGAACCTGTCTTGTCTACCTAGATGATATCATGGTTATGGGAAGAACATTCGAGGAACACCTCTCCAACCTGAAGGAAGTCTTCTACAGAATTAGGAATGCACATCTGCAAATAAATCCGAAAATGTGTTCCCTGTTCCAGAAGCGAGTTGAGTTCTTGGGGCATGTCGTTTCTTCTGGAGCTCGATTTTTGATTGAAGGTGAGAGAATAGAATACTCCCTGGGGGACGTTCCTTCATTTCGCTGTACTACTGTTCTATCAGAAAATTCATACTGTATTCTCGACACAAAGGGATCGAGCCATGAAAGTAAGGAACGAGGAACAATGTTGTCAAATGTACCGACCAATCAGAAAGCAGTAAAGAGGCGGTAGAATAAAAACTAGTGATGAGCTAGTCATGAAATAAGTGCTACTTTATTTAGAGTTATCGTTATTTGTCTGTCAGTGTCAGGTGCAGTCTAAAAAGGAAAGAAAATGGAAATTAATAAAAAACCGACGCTAAATCCAGAAAGTTCTAAACAAAAAGAACTTCTAATTGAATATATTCAGGGTAAAATACAAATGTATACCAGAAAGTTAACACTCAGCTACACTAGAGAAAAAACGAGGGCTAACTGGGAAGAACTTACAAATATTTTAATACTATATTAGGCAGATCCATTTTATTTTATTATTATTTTATTCGTGTATTGTACAACCCTTCAAGTAAACACAAATTATATGAACGTTTCCTCAAATTTCACCACAAAACAGTAACTAGAGATATTACGACAGATTGCGAATTGTGAAACATGTCAAAAAATATAGGGTTAGGTTTAATGATCCCTGCCGGTTCCCTCGAAAATATCAGTAGAAGAAATAGGGAACAATTCTTCTATCATTACTTAATAGAACACCATTCAAGAATACCGATTAATGAGTTTTAGTAGAGACACGCCCCCTTTCTCTCGTTCCTTCTATATAATTCAAGAATAAAGGCCCAGAAGGCATCCAAACGGATGAGCGGAAAATTCAAGCTACTAGAGACTGGCCTAAGCCAAAGAACAAACATGAACTTAGAAGCTTCCTTGGTTTGTGTACATACTACCGGAGGTTTGTCGAAGGATTTGCCAATATTACAGCCCCACTTCATAGACTGACAGAAGATAAAACAGCATAACTTGAAACTCGGCACGCGACAATACATTCAGGAAACTTAAAGCAGCCCTTTGCTCCAGCCCGGTGAGTTACCCTAAAACACACAGAAAGTTTGTTCTGGATACAGATGCTAGTAACATCGGAATCGGTGCAGTTTTGTCACAAGTGCAGGAAGGAGAAGAACGTGTCATCGAATACTTCAGTCGAGTTCTTTCCAAACCCGAGAGAAATTATTGTATAACGAGAAAGGAACTACTGGGTATTGTCAAGGCCGTGGACTACTTTCATAAGTATTTGTCATTAGGACTGATCATGCCGCCCTTAAGTGGCTCTTGAGTATGAAGACTCCAGAAGGTCAAATAGCAAGATGGTTGGAAAAGCTACAACAATATAACTTCAAAATTCAACATCGATCGGGACGACTGCATAAGAACGTAGACGCTCTGTCAAGAAGACCCTGTCAACAAGACTGCAGACATTGTACGAAGATCGAACAACACGAAGGCATACCAACCATTTGTCGTGTCGGGGTAGTAGCAGATGAAGAATGGACAACAGAACAGTGCAGAGCAGACCAACTGGAGGACCCGGATATTGGACCAATTTTACACCTCAAGGAAGAAATTGAAGACCGACCCACTTGGGCAGAAATATCGGACAAGGGACTTACTTACAAAGCACTATGGGCCCAATGGAGAATATGAGAAAGTGCTAACGGAAACGAGACCAGATCGTAATTATTGATGCAGCAGTCCACGACACCACCAACTTGACACCGGCGAGGATTATTTTCGGCAAAGAATTAAGACTCCCCTGGGATTTGGTATATGTAACGCCTAACAGAGAAAATAGAGAGGTACACGATTACGCTGACCAACTGCGAAAAAGATTACTGGAAGTTCACGACGTGGTTAGGGAGCGAATCAATATAGCGACCGACAGGATGAAGACACAATATGACCTTAGTACAAACTCCGCAGGATTCCAGGAAGGTGACAGAGTTTGGCTCTATAATCCGCAAAGGAAAAAGGGGATATCACCGAAATTGACACCATCATGGGAGGCACCATTTACAGTGATCAAGAGGATTAATGATCTGGTGTACAGGATCCAGCGCTGCCTCAAAAGCAAGATGAAGGTAGTTCACTTGAACCGGTTGATGGCGTACCATGGTGACGAAGAGTCTGATCGGGACGATCAGAATTAGGAGGGGGGTGATGTTATAAAAACCCCCAATGGGACGACCATGGGCGACCCATGGTCGAACCGAAGCGAAGCGAACCGAACCGCTGAGAATTGTTTGGGAGCAATCTTAGATTTAACGCGGCGCGCCTAGATTTTTCGTTGAGGGTATAAATTAATTTGCTTGTTTTGTATAGTGCAGTGTTAGTATTAGTATTGGTAAAGCGTTCGAGGTGTTTGGAAGTATTAGTAAAGCGATTGTAGAGTGAAGTATTGTGCAGTATAGTGATCATAGTAATTAGTTGGTGTAATTAGTTAATAAATAGTTAATTATCAAGAAGTGTATTAATTAATCGAACCCAGGGTTTTGTCACCACGTAAATTTCGTGACAATATTATATAAGTACACGCTTATTTTATTTTGTTTGATGACGGTGATGTTGCACGAGGCCGAAAAGAAAATGACTTATTGTATTTCTAAATAACGCTTCTCTATGTAGTTATTGTTAACATAAAATGGGAACAGGTTAGTGAAAATTTTGCAATAAATTTAATTTTTTGAATGTAAATATACACAATTTTTAATAAATAGTTAGCATTATTCTTTGATTTCGTACAAATTTGTTATACTTAGATTAAATATATACAGGGTGATTCACAACTTATCCGAGAAAATTTGGGAATGGATGCAGCATGAAATTTTTATAAAATCATTATATGTAGTTTCCAAGAAAAAACACATCGCTGGACAACTGTAGTCTCTAGCGTCATTCCCGTTGTGGGCTTTACGCAATGTACCTAGAGATCCACATGGTCCCAACGACTCCAAATACTGGAATCCGATTTTACAATTAATATTAACGTCTTTGCGATAGTGTTTACAATAGTTTTTTAGTAGTTATTGTCAAAAATGGCTCACGTGTATAGCAACTCGGAGTTGATGGATATAGTTTTAATTTATGGTGAAGCAAGACAACGTTTACGCTAGTTCGTAGAAACTGGGTAAGACGGGCCCAAATGTGGACATCGGTGTACAAAATTTTAAACAGTTGTTGTAACATCAGGTATGTCAAATTATTTTATTATTTAAAACCACAAATTAATTTTATTGTTAATAACAATAGCGGCATAGTGGATTTGCTGATAAAATAGGTGTCATAAAATTCTATTTATGACGTGCGTACATAGATTTTGTGTATTTTTTTATGCTTCGAATACACATCCCAAAAGCCAACACCAAGGCATTTTTTAGTATAACGTAAAAATATTCCCTAAAATAAGGTGAAATAGTGAGGATAAGGTAAAGCTTTATAATGAAAAGCAACAATTTGTTTCAGAAAACATTTTAAAATAATATTTTGAGCTTTTGAAAGAATTATATGCAAATTAAATCCATACCCACCCCTACGAGGGAGTTAATTCGTTAATTCCATGTTTAAGAACGAAATAACGAATGTTAGTGGAAAACCTTGTATTTTATCCTACCAAATATATAAATGTAAGTTGATAGACAACATACCAAAAAAAATATAATATAACTTATCCCTCAAAGGGTTGGAACCACCTACAGACCAGTGTCAGATCCCTTTAAGTCATACATTTTTATGTTCATAATTTTTGCCTGAATTTTGTTACCGCGAGTTTTTAGGGTCACTAATTACGAATCTGAAGTCCGAATCCGAATATTTCTGAATAAAAGATGGCGGATCCAATATGGTGGATATACTAATTGGAAAAGCATTTAAAATTTGAAGATTATGGCTGAAACTTGTTACCCGATTTTCAAAATCGCCAATTACGAATATAAGGTTTTAATTCGGAAATTCTTAAATCCAAAATGGCGGACTCATTATGACGGATTGAAAAATACCATAAGAACACATGACTGATGCGGATTATAACAGAGCTCAGGAAGTGTGGAAGTTATTCGGCTGTCATACTCTAGGATAGTATTCAGATCTGTACTTGAAATCTGACGTTTTACTATTATGTAATGTGTTTCAGAATTTCCGAAAAATTTGTTTAGAAAAATATAAATTAGATCCAACTCAGTACTTTACGACATTCGACTTTAGCATGAGACGCTATGCTAAAGTTAACTGGAGTAAATTTGGAATTACTTACTGACATCGATATGAAACATATGCTGAAAAAAGGCATTCGTGGTGGAATAGGCCAATGTTCCGAGAGAAGGCACGTTGCAAACAATGTCTTCTTGCCTAATTATAATCCTCGAGAACCATATTCTTTTTTCATACTTATATGCTCACAGTATGTCCCAATTTTTACCCATAGGTGGGTTCACGTGGCTAAATGAAAATGAAATTCGGAATTTTGATGTGGAAATACCGAAGGACAGCCGCCATGGGTTTATATTAGAGGTTAACGTGCATTATCGGCAAGAGTTGCATGATAGTCATTCGGATTTACCCTTTTTAGTTGAAAATATCATTCCACCAAATACAAAATCTAAATTAAAAAAATTTATTACAATTTTAAATCATAAATTTAATTATGTAGTCCTTTACAGAAACCTACAACAAGCTATTGAAAACGGACTAGTTTTGACAAAAATAGGATTTTGAAATTCAATCAATCTCGGTGGATAAAAAAAATAAATTTGAAAAGGATTTTTATAAGCTGATGAATAATGCGGCTTTCGGTAAAACTATGGAAAATGTGGAAAACAGGAGAGATATACGGTTGGTCACACATTGGGAGAACATGGGTAGAAAAATAGGTGCCAGTTCGTTAATAGCTAAATCGCATTTTTAAAGTTTCTCAATTTTTTTTCCGAGAATTTTGTTGCAGTTCACATGGGGATGCTGTCAATTTCATATAAAAAACCGATTTATATAGGATTTTGTATTTTAGAGCTATCCAAAATGGTATTGTATGATTTCTTTTACAATGTTATTAAAAATAGTTTTGGTCAGAACGCATCCTTGCTATATACGGACACCAATTCATTGATAATAAAGATTTATACGAAACATTTTTATAATTTTTATAGTAAATAATATAGATAAATTTGACACATCAAATTATAAAGCAGGAAACAAGTTTAATATTGCCGTAAGTCAATCGGTATTAGGAAAAATGAATTCCCAGCAGATCCCAATTACATGTTTCTACGGCACGAAAGCTTACTACGTGCAGTCTCTGGATGGCGAACTTAAAAAGGCGAAAGGAATTAAAAAAGCGTAATTCAAAAACATCTTATTATAGATGACTATAAAAAAATTGTATACAGGGGCGGTGTTTTGTTTAGAAAAATGAATACCTTCACAACACCATACATGACATATACAGAAATGAAAAATAAAGTGGTATTATTTTATAACGATGACAAACGGTTTGTAATTCCAAATACGACTAATGTAAAACTCTGGCGGGGACATTCTGACATATCATTTTTTCAAACAAGCCTTATACAAAATATGGAATGGTTGATAAAGTCATTGAAAGGCTGTAATGAAAATGAAGAGAAATTGACATTTACCGCCCAAAGAAATGCGTTATGATGTTTAAAAAATTGAGTAATTTAAGTAAAAATAGGCATATGCCTAAAAAATTTAACAAAGAAATAAATTCGGTTTGCAGTGTAATGAAAACGAATAACAGAATTTGGAAATGATTTTGTTTGAACTTTATCGTTTGATTACTGGTGATAAACTTTAGTTTTTGTACGAAGAAATGAGACAGTTTTCTATTTTGTCAATGACATGAGAGTGAACATTTTCTTAGCAACGCTTACGTCACACCGTCTTATCACTCACTCATACATTCGAGGAGTTTTGCGCGTACCCATCATTCAACTCGTACGCATAGGCCCGTTTTACCATTTTCAAAAGAATAAACCCGACATTGACAAAAATATACTTATGAAGCTAGTTAGTAACTATTGCTCCAATTGAAAATAAAGAAATAGTTAATATATCAATTAAACTTACAAAAAATCACGACATACAGGGTGAGGTCGGATACAAATTATTATTAATTAGGATTTGCATCTGATTGTGTATAATATCGCCTTAATCACTTTATTCTCTAATGGCTGTTTTTTTATATACATGAAGCGTAGTCGCACTATAGGATCCATTTATTTNCCTGAATATGGTTTAATTCTCTCATGAGGTTAAGCTTCTCAACTCTGAAATACAGAACTATGTACCTATTTCATAAAACAACCGCATTCGTGGTTAAACTTGTAAAATATTTTGATGTATATGGAACTGTACGTAATTAAGAAATACTGAAGCAAAATTATATACAACAGGTATACCTGTTTATGTCAGTGTTCAATAAACGAACAGGGCATTAATTAATTTGACATCAAAATATTACAATTTAAAAAAAAATAGTGAAGTTGAAATATAGGGTATTGAAATATCTAATGATTTTTATCCTATTTTCTATCACTACGAAAATTTCAAAATGTTACCTTAAAAATTGGCAGGTCAATATTTGTTTTGCGTGACAAACAAGTCTAGTATTTTTGATAAATCTTTTAAAAGGTGTATGTTTTTCTAAATTTATTACTGCTCTTCATTAGGTTTGAATCCCCTTGTATAGCGAACAAATATCCAAAAAAGGAAATAACAAAACTGGAAGGCAACTAAAACATTTAGCCAAATTTTACAATCAATTTTGCATTACAATTTAATGTAAAAAAATTACAAGAAGTGTTACTTTACACAATTGTTATATAAATACCTAACTATTTCCTATTATCAAATTAAAAATACTCATTTTATGCAATAGTTCAATGCAAGTTAAATACTTTACACATTGGTGCATAAATTGTACCTAATTATGTTTTAAATTGTACACCCAAGCACATAAATTCTTTATGCCACTAGTGCAATTAGAGAAAAAAAGAAAATTATATAATATCAAGTTCAGATAGGATTAGTTTAAATTGAAATTATGTATTGTTTATTATCTATGTAGAATAGTAAATAGCTTTTTATAATTTTACAATTAAATTTCTATAAGTTTGAAAGCACCTAGGTTAGTATAAAT